GACTGGAAGTGTTAATTCTTGCCTGTGCCTCTTTGAATAAACCAGCACGGTTATATTTTTATATACTCAAGTGGTCTGAGTCGTCCCTCGGAGTTCCTGGTTTGAAAGAACCGGACGAGGCTTTATAATGGGATAAAGCCTTTAATGCAGGAGGCTTCCTTTTGGCATATTTTCAGACAGTGTAGCTCAGCAAAGTGGTTGGGCAAAAACAACAATGTCAGGAGTAGTATGTTTTACAAGGTGCTGACTCTGCTGAGTGTCTGTGGCTCAAGAGGTAGAGTGGGTCATCTACAAACTGGACAGTTGGTGGTTTGATTACTGGCTTCTCCAGTGAGCAGGTACTGTACAGTGGGTTTTAAGAGTTTTTATTAATCTATCAGCTGCTGGCTGATGAGCTATGAGTGATGCAAAATTGTTAAGTGTAGGGCAGGTGTGTTGAGTCCAGTTATTTCCAGAGGGTAATTTTGTGCATTTTCAAAACCTGGATTTTATAATCAAGTCACTCAAATTTGACTAGTTAAACCTATATTCCAGATTTTGACAGATCCAAGAAAGATACGTTTATGTGAGTGATTGAAAAATAACACTCAGCGAGATGACAGCCCACAGCTGGGGAAGGAGCTGCTCTATGCAGTGACAGCTGGGATAGAGCCTGATGGCAGAGAAGGCTGTTTTAATTTCTAGAGATGTGAGTGTTTGCTGTCTTACCAGTTTAGCTCTATTAGCAGCCAGCTACATCTTGGTCGGAGCACAGTACCCTGTCGGTGAGGACGTCGGTGTCCCAGCTGCACATTATAGCAGCATTTTCACTGTCAGAATCTAACGTATGGTACACCCTGAGCTTAACAGTCACCCAGCACAACCTCACAGATTGACATCCAACTTTGCTTTTACATTGTATCTTCCTCTGTGTTGTCTCTGTTTAGAGGAGGGGCTGTGCTTCGCTCTCCTTTAAACTCCTACTCATGTCTATCTTTTTTCTTGAAAAAATTCCAAATGCCAGCAGTAGGTTTTCATGTTCAAGCTATCATGGAAATATTGCTTTTATGGCATTATGGGAAAAGTGAGTTGCTCCTTCACAGAGTTCTACACTTTCTGAGTGCTGTCTAGTTATTATTTATTATTGTTACTACTACTACTACTAATAATAATAATAATAATAATAATAATAAGAAGAAGAAGAAGAAGAAGAAGAAGAAGAAGAAGAATAAGAAGAAGAAGAATTATTATTACTTTGTAGACAGCCATTCCCTTCATGCCTTCCTTCACAGGAGCACTGACACCACCAAGGTGCACCTTCACCCTGTGGCCATTATACTGTACAATACCCCTGTCTCCTCTGCCACTTGCTGAGTAAACCATGCTATAGTATCAAGTAGTACAATCACTAGTTTTTACTATTTCTATTTTATGCTATAATTTGTTATCACTTACTGTTACTTTGTATAAGCTATTAGTATTCTACTGTATGTGTCACTAACTAATTAAATTACATTTCAGTAATCACTGTTACTCTTCATTGTGTGTATTTTGTTTTGTCTTTTAATTGCTTTTTTCTTTGGTCTACTTTGTAAGCTTGAACAAAGTATGACAGTGATTTCTTTAAGGATGAATGAAGTGGAACTTTACCATACTGAAGTGCCTACAATGTAAGGGGCTATATATAACGTAGACCTGTAGCTGTAAACTGCAGATGCAGGACAGGAAGTGATTTTCTATGTAGGCAGTACTATCACAAGCTCTCAACATGCCTATTGTTTGTGTCATTTATGGTTGATCAAATTGAATGCATGGACAAAGCCGATGAAACTTTCATCTAGTACATTCTCAGTTTGCATATGCATAATTGCACAATGACTGTTGACTGCTGCACATGCTGCTCCCATGCAGCATACATTCTGTTATTATATTCTTATTTTTTTTATTATAGCTCTGCATTTGCTGCTTAAAGTGCCTTAAGTGTTTGTGTTACTTATTCATCTACTTTATATTTCATTTGTATTTTGTGGCATTCATATGGACGGCAAAGTAAGAATTTCATTGTACAGGGAAACACGTTTCCTAACTGTACTGTGCATATGACAAATAAACACTTTGACCTTTGACCTTGAAAAGTATTTGTTCATAAGGGGAAATGCAAGAAATTTAGCAAAAAACGCAAGTATTGTGTCAAAGTGTTTTCCTCCATCACAATGTTTCCCCCAATAGAACTGTTTCCCTTAGGACCCCCATCAATGGTCAGGGCTATGATAACACTATATTCACGTTAAGTTACACATCTTGAAGAGGGAACACACTTTGACACAACACTGGGAAAATATTACAGAACATTTCATAAATGGGAATTCAACGTTTTGCACCCAACTGTATGTTGTGGTTTTCTGTTTACACCTTTTTCTCATAATATTATTTAAACTAGCACAATGCAGACTATACTCCATCTCTTCATTCTGTTTTTCATTTCCTGCCCTCCATCTGAGTTTTGTGCGTCCTAATAGTCATGTGTTGGAAACCACCTCTATGTACATCTGCAGCACCTTTCGATAAATTACTTACCTTTCTATAAGTATATTGGCAAGTTGTCAGGTTTTCCTAGAAAAATTGTAAAACGTGTCATAGTTCATATTATCAAATGTCACTTTTTATTTTGTTTGTGAAATTGACACTGTTAGAAGGAATAGAAATCTCACATTGCAACTGTCAACTGTTTATGTGGTGATGAACAGGTAATGAAGTTTTATAGTTTTATAAAACAAAAATCTTGCATTGCTACAATTTAATGTTACTGTTCAGAGGTCTGTTAACCAGCACTGTATGAATCTTACCGAGTTTCCTTTGCTCTGCGTGGGGGTGTGGTCCTGCCGTTCAGGTGTGATGGGGTTGGACCTCAGAGGCGGGGAGAGTGTGAGGTCTCGGCGTAGAGGCCGTGAATCCATCTTCTCTCCCGGTCTGTCCAGGTTGTGCACTGAGTCTTTGGCCCCCTCTTTCTCCTCTCTTCCTTCTCTTCCCTCCCTACCATCACAGTTCTTATGTCTCTGTCTCTGTACTGTGTGTGAGCGGCCCTCTCCATGAGCGTGACTGTGTCCGTGCCTCTCATCTCCATGCCCATGGGGCTTGTGGGTAGTGGAGTCTCTGGGCTGTAAAGGCTTCATCTCCATCTCATAGTTGCTAATCTTCTCCTCGTCCTGCTCCAGTAGCCGGGCTCCTCTGCTATGCACTCCCCTGTGCCCAGATGTCCAAGAAGCAGATGAGGACGACTCTGTCCATTTCTCCCCTCTGGCTTGTCTGTGATTGGATGAGCAGTGCTCCCGCGACTTGTGATTGGAGGAGCTGTGTTTGTGTCCATTGGTCCGATTTGCTCCTCGTCCGCTGACCCCACCTCCTCTTTTTGACAACATCCCTCTCCTCTTGTCCTCACTCCAGCTGTTGGCCTGTGAATAGTCCCCCTTCCCTCCTCCTCCACCACCTTCACCTCCCCCGCTACCTCCCTCCATCAACACTTGGATCTGTGTCTGCCCTCCTCCCCCACCCTTCTCACCTCTTTCTCCTCCCTCCTTTCCCCTGTCTCCATGGTCCACGGCACTCTGCCGGTGGAAGCGAGCACTCTTACTGCGCTGAGATGGCCGGGCAAGGTTAGGTGGAGTGTGTGGAGGTGATGAAGAAGGGGGGCTGAGGTCAGGCGTGGCAGCATCATTAGAGGGGTCATCAGAGGCTCCACTCTTCACATAAAGGTCAGGGCTGTCAGCCGTGCCAGCACTACTCGACAACCCCTCACCCTCCACTTCGCTGGAGACCTGACGGTTGGGACGCTGCACCTCCATACCTGCAAAAGATGGATGACATCAGTAAGACAACGGACAATGTCGTTACACACTCATCACTTATTTAAAAGTAATGACAGCACAAAATTTATAGGGCAGTCACAAACATGATACTGTATTTACATGCATATAATTGCAGTACATGTTAGGGGCGATATGAAAATTAGTAGAGTGGGGAGGGGTGTTGAATTGTAGGACCTACCAAGATATAGGAAAAAAAAAAAATTAAAAACAATAATGCAGTAACCAAGTGTATCAGTTACTCAGAATTAACACAAGTGCTCAACAAATTTATAGCTAAATTAATTGGATATTATTTGTATGGATGCTGAATCAGCATCAGCTGAACCAGCATCCATGTTATCCTGTTCTTTATTATTATTATTTTGGTTTCTTCCGTACGTTTTGCGGAATTCAACTAGTTCAGCATACTTTCAGCTAGCAAAACCATTCAGGCATCAACATGTCCAGCTCTTCAATGACACTCCTGCTTCTCTTCAGAATTTTTCTAAACTTCATACTTTTTAAAATATTCAGCTTTATTCTGAAATTTTTGCCCCATTCAAATGAATGGGATCATTTTACTTCTGCATACTTTCAGCTATTTCAGCTATCAAAATGTTCAGCTCTTCAAGGACATTCATGCTACTATTCAGAATTTTTCTAAACTTCATATTTTTGAAATATTTAGCTTTATTTTGAAAATCTTGCCCCATTCAAACAAATGGGAAAATTCTACTTCAGCATACTTTCATCTATCACAATGTTCAGCTATTCAAGGACATTCATGCTTCTCTTCAGAATTTTTCTAAATGTCATACTTTTGAAATATTTAGCTTTATTTTGAAAATCTTGCCCCATTCAAACAAATGGGAAAATTCTACTTCAGCATACTTTCATCTATCACAATGTTCAGCTATTCAAGGACATTCATGCTTCTCTTCAGAATTTTTCTAAATGTCATACTTTTGAAATATTTAGCTTTATTTTGAAAATCTTGCCCCATTCAAACAAATGGGAAAATTCTACTTCAGCATACTTTCATCTATCACAATGTTCAGCTATTCAAGGACATTCATGCTTCTCTTCAGAATTTTTCTAAATGTCATACTTTTGAAATATTTAGCTTTATTTTGAAAATCTTGCCCCATTCAAA